CGACTGCTTATCACGATACAAGACAACGTAATCGGGTATATAGTACAAAACATACCCGAAAAAGTCAAATTAGTTACAAAATAATTTAATCTCAGTACAGAGTACTAAAAAAACCGACCTCAAAAGTACGTGGAATTACATCTATTTTTTTTTGTTTTAGTTTGTTTTAGTACCAAGTTTTATTGAAATATCCCCTAGTTCGCCACTATACAGGACTTGACACAGGAGATAATAAAAATCGGTTCTCACTAATCAAAGTATATTGAGAAAGAAAATCGCCTGGAATTGAAGAATATTTGCTATTCTTCAATTAAAATAATTAACCGATAAAAAAAATAACCGACCATTAAAATAATTGTTCATTAAGTAAAATTTAGGCCCTATTTATAAAAATTAATGTTCATGCGAGATCAGCCACCCTTAGAGCTGATGATTTTCTTCAAAATGAAATGGGACCACTATAGACATACCCTCTTTCCAACAAAAAATAATCATGAAAATCGGTTCACAAATACCGGAGTTATCGCGTAACACACATACAAAAAAAACATACAGTCGAATTGAGAACCTCCTCCTTTTTTTGAAATCGGTTAAATAGCTATTTTTTGTAACTAATTTGTTATACATGACAAGCTGCAATTTATCAAAGCTACTCTAACCTTCTTTTTTCTTCTAGTAATAACAAACATATCAACTAGATTGCACATATTTTATGGATAATGCCGGCCATTCTTTTATTTTGTAATCTGTTTGGCTCCATCTACTCATATTAAGAGGTGTTAATTTATAAATTAGTTTGTAACACAATGCCATCCATTGACGCGTATATTTGTCAACATTCAGGAAATAATTTTAGCTCATGATAAATGAAATTTTTGCGACTACCCTTCTGAGTAGTTAATTCGCACCCTTGGAGTAATAGGGTGACGTCTGCAAAATGACAACTTTTCAGGAGAGAGGTTTCACACTTTTATACTTACGTAGAAGAGTAGAAGTAGAGAAGTTAGCGTGTATTATTTTTATGACTTCCATGTGATAATTTTTTTGCGCACACCTATAGTCCCGCACTAGGGAAATCCTGTATCGTGTATATGTTAATGCACTTTGAACGTATAGGCTTGAACTTTAATTGTATATTTTTTGAAATTGAATTGTACCACAATGTTTTTCTTCGTATTATTTGTATCCACATCCATTTTAAGACAGACCCGGAAAACTCGTCGTATCTGTACTGCCGACTGGAAGACACCCCGCCGCGGTATCAACGTATGCATCATAATAACATTGTATGCGTCTATCTCTGTGACTTCGCTCCATTGTTACCACAACACTCGCGAGGAATGACTTCTTACATTTAAATGCAATTTGGGAACCCCTTCTTTGAAGTATATTTATTTGTAAGTAAATTCATTTTGTACCGTGATATGACCATCCCATTTCTTCACGTTCGTGATGTAGAAAAACTCAATGTATAGGTATAAGTACAGTTGGTGAATCCGCCAGGCGTTATATAATCGTCATCAGCTCATCGCAGTCCACTACTGGACACATTGCTTTCCTAAGCAATATCACAACGACGTTCAATGTAAGAGATATGGTACAAGTAAGCGTAGTCAAACGTAATGAATATTAGGTTTTTTTCAAAGAAAGTTATGTCTAGCAGTAAAGTAACATTTATTTATGATATAGAAGACTTTACGTAGCAGTAGAGCTTCATGTATAGAATTCATCCATGGAAGTACTGCCACCATACCTTTTTCTGCTGTCAAGCAGTAATGACAATACTGTGTTCCGGTTTTGAAGGGTAGAGGTGCGGGTGAAATTACAGACACATGAAACTTGTCAAGTTACGTCTCAGGGTGACGGGCGCAGTGTGCACCTCAAACCTTCGCAATTTAAAGCTCTGAGTGGCAATGCAACTGTTATAGACAGGCGTGTTGCTTACCATCATGCGCACGATTTGTCCTACCCGCCACTTAATATTATAATCGGTACAGAGTACTAAAAAAACCGACCTCGAGGTCGGTTTTCCACGTGGAATTACATATAATTACCAAGTTTTATTGAAATCGGTTACTGGAAAGTGAGCAAACCCGGATTCATCCCCTAGTTCGCTACTATACGGGGCTTGACACAGGAGATAATAAAAATCGGTTCTCACTACTTAAATTATATTGAGAGAGAAATACGCCTTGAATTGGACAATAGCAAAATTAACCGTTAAAATAATTGCTCCTTGTAATAAAATTTAGGCGCTATTTATAAAAATGAATCTTCTTGCGTGAACAGCTATGAAGATTGTGGTGGATGATTTTCTTCAAAATTAAATGGAACCACCATGGAGGTACCCTCTTTCCAACAAAAAAAGAATCATGAAAATCGGTTCACAAATACCGGAGTTATCACATAACATTACTACAAAAAAAGACATACAGTCGAATTGAGAACCTCCTCCTTAATTAGAGTCGTTTAATAAAACCTGAGCAACATGTCACTGCACCCGTCACCCAGAGACACGAAGTTAACAAGTTCCATATGCTTGTAGTTTCAGCTGTAGGTGTACTTGAAGAAATATTATTTGCACCGATGAATGTTATCTCTTGGAACGGCTTATTCTATTACAGTAGGGTAATATAACATTAACACTTCTTTTACTTAAAGCGTACACGGATTTAACGGTCTTGGTCCATCGTACCAGTCAAGGCATAGGTGCGCTGAACGCTTTTGTCTGAATTCTACTTTTCCATTAATTCTTTCTTACTAATCCAACAAGTTAGTTACGCACAAAGATGATCAAGTTTAGAATTAAATACCAATGCGTAAAAATATTAAAAGTAGTTATTTGCACTCTACCAATGGCACGTGCGTTACCGAGACGGTTCACTCATTTCAACCGACTTTAAAAAAAGGAAGGGGCTAAACGTTCGGCTGTACGTATGTTTTCAGATATCTCCGTCAATTGTGGACCGATTTTGAAAATTTTTGTTTTGTTTGAAGGGGTGCACTCTAGTGGTAGTCCCATTTTCACCAAGTCCGAATCTGATGAGGGGATCCCAAGAAAATCGAAGGAAATCCTCAAATTGTATAGGCATGTCCGTGTATTCACCAATTTCGCCATCAATTATGCACCGATTTTGAAATATATTCTTTTGTTTGAAAGGTTGATGGTTCCTCTTCTCGTTGTGGTTCCTGGTGCTGTTCTGGGTTCGTCCCGGCTATCACAAATAACTAATTATTTTCCGCTAATAAAAGTCGACTTTTCACTTGACACAATACATGTAATCTACAAATCACTGTCATCATGACAACCAGAAAATAAAATATAAAATGTACAAAGGAGTCCGTATAACAGTCCCATTGTCACCAAGAATCTGATGAGGGATCCCATGGAAATCGAAAAAAGCCTACAAGCAAACTTTTCCTATTATACTCTAAAGATTTTTTTTAACGCACACATTCAACATAGCCCTGCACTAGGGAAACCCTGTGTCGCGGGTGCCATGGACACACACATAGACAACCACCGTAGGCTATATAAATATTTCTCCCAGCCCGGGACATACCTGGGACCTCTGCGTGACAATGGTAACCGCTCGGCCACCGAGGCAGTTAAGTTAAAGACGAAGCAATACGATGAACCGGGGCAAATAATATTTCGCCAACTATGCCCTTAACTTTCAAAATCGAAACGCAGTAACGGTAATATTACTGCGTGGTGGCTGAAATAGATATGGCGGCAATACTTCCCTGGACGAACCCTTTCACAAGAAGTTCTACTGCTGTCATAGGTTAGATTGTCCGGTAGACATAGATGTTATCAACAGTCACAGTCGTTGTGTCATCAGGAAAACGTTAGTTTAACCCTCTGTTTATGTTAATGTTTATAGCTACAACGTCATAACGACCCGTAACGCAATATTGTTGAGGGGTTATAGGCATAGTTAGAATTAATTAGGTTCTTCTTAATGAGTGAACTTGAGTTACATTGTGACTATTATGCTTTGAAGGTTTATACTTACAAGTTACACAGGTTTTGATAAACGTGTATGGAGCTTTATTGAAAACAGTAGCCTATAGTAAAAGAGTAAGGCTCAACTCATACTGGCGCAGAGTCGAAGCGTCACGTCGCGTCACGTCGCGTCGCGTCCTGTTTTTCAACTACACCGCCAGGCGACGACGCTCGCATCAGTGCGCCTGGATCACATTGTGGTCGGCGCCTGACGCCTCACTGCGCCGAACTTACGCGACGCGACGAAGCCGATCAACTGCTACTAAACTCGATTCCACATTTGCATAATATAAATTTGTACCTTAATTATGGGAAAATAGAGATGAATATGCTATAGGTGAAAAAACATGACGCGTCGCGACGCTTCGACTCTGCGCCAATGTGAGTTGAGCCTAAGGTTTAAATACATATGTCATGATGTGACCATACTTCCTGCTTTGAGCGGGACAGTCCAAAGTTCAAGTTTCACGTAGCGTTGTCCCCAAAATACTTAAAAAAAAATTTTTTTTAACAATATAAATTCACAGGCGTCCCGCTCGGAGGGGAAAAATTATGATCACGCTCCCATTATGTCGTGACTAGTATATTTAAATGAAGTTGTTCGCACATAGAACGACACGACAGACTGTCGTGACAATGGGAAGACCTAGAACAACAGTCGTTCGACGATAAATAAAACGTTACGATAAAAATGTGACGACAAATAATCGCTGCTTCAAACGATCTTGTGGGAACAGCTAGACACGACACTCGTTCAATAAAATAAACATCCACGACACAGTCGTGATATGGGAACATCCTAGATACGACAGGTGTCCAACAATAAATAAAATGTGACGATGTAATGGGAACGCGCCCTTAGTCAAGTGTCAAGCAAACGTAAAAAGATAGCGCATGTCAGTTTGCCTACTTTTTTATTTATAGATTGAAAATCAACATTAGATTTATTTCTTTCTGTCATCTGCCATTTCAGTTCCAACAGACAGTTTCCATTAAAATATGTCAACTAGTTAACAATAATTTTTGTGTCGCGCTTATTTTATAATAATTTATATTTTATAATCAGTTTACATACAAGATGAACGCGTACACTGTTTTGTTAATAATGATCGGGTGTCAGATTGAAGCACGGCCGAATGACTTTTGGCCCAATGTTGGCTCCGTCCTCTTCAATCGTGACGACTTGAATAGAATAATGTGGTCCAAGAGAGACATAGCATTGTTAAAGGCAAGGCGGTACTTCCAAAAGCTGATTCCTCCGCCCACCTTTATAACTGTGGAGAATGAATTCGTAGACAAGATGCTTACTTACTTTCGGGATACGTACGCAACAATCAAGAATGTATCACCGGACCAAGATGTAGACAGGATAATGACCACTGCCCTCTCGGATACCGTCGGAGGCTACCTTAAGCTATGTGTGCTACCCGTTACAAAACTCTCATTCTATGGCGGTATAGCATCATATGAAAGCGCATACAAGGTGTTTAGGTTCTACACAGAAATTAAGGAATATCTGTATACTGACGGCCATAACTGGCGAAACCCCGATCAAAAAATGCTGAACGATTTAATTTTGAACGGTCCTAAAGTCTGGCGTAATAAGAAGCAAATGCTCAATGCACATGACTTAACACAAAAGGAGGATCCCTGTACGCTATTTTATTTCGAAAAATCACCCAAAGGATTAGTAGTGCCCATACCTGTTGTGAATTGGGATGATGTCTCTATGTTTTTACCCGTACACAATGAATCAACGTTTTCTTTGGATTCTCCTAAGCACTGTAACACATTACAAAATTATTACAATAAAGCAAAGATTTGCATGAATTCAAAAAGTAAAGATGTTGCAGCAGATTTTGATTACAAGTTTCAAAACTGGTTATCATCAGATGTACTACCGCACCTCAAAGACGACCGCTTGTACGTCGCCTTAGGTAATGTTTTAAGCTTACTCAACCAAACCAGGGAAATATGCGACGTAATTCTGGATATATATAATTCTAGTTCGAAACGCATTCTACCAGATTTAAAGTCCATTGTCTGTTCAAAAACATCGATAGTTGTTATTATAATACTCATCTTCGAAATAATTTGGTGTATTGTAGCTATAGATAGATTGTGTTGTAAAAAGATTTCAGACTTGGACGATATGGATAATAATAACAGCCATAGAGTCTTTTCGTACTTCCGAATATGTAGCAACAAAGAGCGTATGCCAGTCAAGAATAGGAACACACAAGATTATGAAACGAAGTACCCCGAGATGGCTATTAATAAGTCGTCGTACATGCGGAAATGGTCAGGACACAGCAATTACACCGAAATGGATCGTAAAATAAACTGGCTTCCTACAACAGTGGAAGCAGGCTGCCAGAACGAGCCGTCAATCAAATGTGAATGTCCATCTACCTGTATTGGCACAAAGTGTAGAGCTCAATGCTCATTCCTTTATCAAGTACAATCTAATGACATATTGACAATAGTCAACGAAAGAATCGACGATTTTTCATCGCCATCACCACGACTTCCAATGACTATAACGAATAAAAGCTACACTAAAATACCATCAAACATTAGCGGCGTCAAAGACATTGACACCCGAGAGACTTATACATGTAACTCTATAAATTTATACGACGAGTCATCCAGTACTATTGCAAGAACCAAGAATAAATCGGCAGTAACAATATACAGGTCTCAAAAGAGCTCAGAAGGCAATCAAACTAGGTACCGAAGTCGTCAAAGAAAAAACTTTCAAATAGAAAAGGCTGTGACTGGGTGTAAGCGAAACAAGGCTATACTTAGTCCATATTCTATAATACCTGACTCACGCCCTAGTCGCAATAGTGCAGCTGACTCCTACGTCAGTTTTGAATTAGTAAATATACCCAGTATCAATGAAGTGACCACTGATTCTCCCATTTGTTACTATTCACACGAAAAACCATCAACAATCACAAAAAAAGCTAGGACTATCTCTGAGATGCAATCGGTGACAACAAGACCAAATAACGAAACTGAAACGAATGTGCAAGAAAGGAACTATCTGGTGAATAAATTGACGTCCCCAGTAGCAGTCATGGTGTCTAAAGATTTAAAAGGTAAACAATTCCAATGGAAACGATATTTAAAAATGAAAATAGATGAACCAAAGGCTGAAATCAAATTAGGAACATTCGCTGCGCGAGAGTCACCTAGAAAAGGACAAAGTAAAATTCCAACTCGAAAATCAGTGAAACGTGCTCAATACAGTACAATAAAACGACCGAAAGAAGTAACCACTGAATCACTAGTATACGCTGACAAAAGCATTGATCCAGTCACTAAATATATAGACCGATCAACTGACTACATAATAACTCAAGAATACGCTATGCATCAAGTGAGTACAAAAGAAGATAACAGTCATGTTATCAACCATAACCAACAAAACCAAGTTAAAAACTACAGGGTGCTAGAGTCAACTTTATTGTCCACACAAGATCTTACCACTATACCAACGGCCTCTAAACCAGATATTCGATTCGAAGAAAAAAATGCAAATACAAAATCAAATGAACAAGATAAAAGCCTAATGACAATAAAACGAAGTGGGAGCGATTCATCAAAAATATCACGGTATACTGCTGATGTCGCATTACCATGTACCAATTTGAAACAAGATACAATAATAGAAAGCAGCAATAACGCAAGGGGTACTCACCAAGAGACAGTATTAGCAACTGAGAAAGTAGTTTGGTCAGTATTAGCAACTGAGAAAGAAAAGACATTAAAAGAACAAAACGTTCGAGAGTCTAGTGACATTGTTACGGACTCAACAAATGGGTCCGAGAGTAAAAAGAAAGGACATTATAGTTTAAATAAATGGCAAGCCAAAACTACAGAGAATTCAAACTCATCCTTGAAACTAATAAAAACAAATACAAAATCAGAAACGTCAAAAGTGTCGAAATACCAAAAAATCACTGAACCAATGAAAAAATTAAATAAACAAGAAAGAAGAGCAGGAACGGTGAAAAGTAAAATAACAAAGTGCCATAAAGACAACCCCAGGAAAACACTGCGTCCTCCGGTGAGATCTTTGAGCAAATGGAAGACTTCCATGGAACTTGAAGGCAAGCAAAATTGCAAGCAAAGAAATGAGTTCGCGCCAACTACAGAAAATGTTATAGAAAAGTCATCGATTCTTTTAAACAAAAGCGATACATATGGTGACACTACGTGCAAACGGCAGACAGGGGATGGTAGTAATGGCCAAACTAATTTGTCAACCACACGCAAAAGCAAAATTCCGCAACTTAAGCGAATCGACGACACACGGGTGACAAAGACACTAAATACTGAAGTTAGATTAAACTTATCGTTTTAGTTTTAGTTGTGTATGTAGATGTAAGTATTTGATACTCCTATTAATATATTTTGTTAAAAAAATATTTTATTTATATTATTTTATCTATGTTCTCCTCATGAGTTACAAAATCTAGTCAGTGGCGTAACTATTTAAAAAAAATAAAATTCAAGACATTTCAAGCTTTACGAATGCTGTTTAAAAAACAATTCCATCTCTGTAATTTTATATTTTAGTACGTGGCCATTTTTCATCAATATAAGCGCCCAGTTACACAAGGAGAAAGTTTTCGCGTAGCCGCCGCGCGGCGACCGCCCAGTTACCACGCCTTGATGTACATTAATGGCGAATCTGAATTCTATTTACTGGGCAACAACATTAAATTGCACTAAATAATACTACCGCGCGGTCGCCACGCGGGCCACCGCGTAGACCAAATTGAAGCCAGACTCGCGCGCGTACCCGGCGCGGCGGCCGAAATCTTTCTCTTTATGTAACTGAGTGCTTATATTGATGAAAAATGGCCACGTACTAAAATATAAAATTACAGAGATGGAAATGGGTGAAATTTTTGGGTCTTAGGCTTAGGTCTAATCAATGAATGAAATTGATTAATGCTTAAATAGGTATTTGTTATGCAAGGCTGAAAAGTTGTTGTTTGTATTGTATCGCGAGTGCTTGTATTGAAACCTGAACAAGCAAAGGAGGCTAAGAATAATAAGACTTAGAATATAATAAGAATATATAAAAATAGAATCCTGAGCGAAGCGAGAACTTCAAGGCACGAGACGCAAAACAACTTTACTGCTGAGCGAAACATATAACTTTTCACCTCACTGTAGCAAGAAAAATTGTAAGCGAAAGAAAAACATTTAAACTATAACAATTCAGTTTTTCATCACCGCTAGACTCAGACTCGCGCATGTTTTGTTTCTTTTCAATTTAGTACAGCACAATTCAATCCAACGTGTACTAAAGTGTCTAAAAGAAAATTTAAAAAAAATAAGTTTAGTTTTGGGTGCGTTCTGAATTTACACCGCATACGTGGTCTTCTTCTTTGTACTTATAATTTTATGTGATTAATGAAATTATTTTATCTTTGGCTTATTAAACTAATATAGTAAAAGAAAATTAGTGTTATCGTTGTCAATTTAATGTCAATAATGATAACAATAAATTATACTAACTGATTAATATTATATAAATACTTAGTGTACATTATGACGAATCGCGTTTGCGAATGTGTCACGCACTCATAATCAAAAGAACAAAAATTATCTTCGGATGCGTGATTGTTGTCAATTCAATGTTCACAATAATAAGAATAAAATGTACTTTTAATCTCGTCGTTGAACGTGTCATTATGTTTCTTTCACCTCACTAGCTCTGAAAGGCTTAATTTCTCATTAGAAATCTGCGCGCAAAAGCGTTTTTTGCACGCTAGCATGGAAAAGGTTTTTGGAATTCGAACTTGACAATGACTGTGGTACACTTAACTTTTTCTTTCGATGAAAAAAAAAGATAATGGCACGTTCAATTAAACGATTTGTCGTACATTACTTATTTATGTACCATAGTTTGTATAGTTTATTCTTATTATTGTTGACATAAAATTGACAATGATAACTATATGTGTTTATTAAATTATTTTAATTCATCGAAGAACTAAAATAATTTCAAAAATCACTTATTCACACAAAATAAAAGTACAAGCAAGAATAAAAATTGATGAGGTGTAAATTCAGAACGCATCCAAAGATATACTTTTTGTTTTCATTAAAAAAAAAGGTTTTATAGTTCAACTGTTTTTCTTTCATCTACCATTTTCCTCGCTATAGTGAGGTGAAAAGTTATGTGTTTCGCTCGGCAAAAAGTTGTTTTGCGTCTCGTGGCTTGAAACCCTCGCTACGCTCTGGAATCTATATTAAACCACTCGCTTCGCTCTTGACTCAATTTTCGCTTCCTTCGCTTGCTCGGGTTTCAATATAAGCACTCGCGGCAAACAACAACTTTGCAGCCTTGCATAACAAATAGCTATTTTTCATCAAAGAAAAAGGTAAGTGCACTACTGTCCATAGTCAAGTTCGAATTTTGAATACATTCTCCACGCTAGGGTGGAAAATAACGCTTTTACGCGCTGATTTCTTATGTGAAAGAAAGCCTTTTCGAGCTAGTGAGGTCAAAAATAAATTATTAGTAAACACAGTCAAAATTGTCACTACTATAAAACCTTAGACTTTTGTCAAAGAGTTTTATTAAATTGTGCATCTTTAGGTGTAAATACAATGTACTTAAATATGTAGGTAACTGTCTGTTCCCCCAAAATCACCCTGATGAATTTATTGCACTCAGTGAAATCGTGGTTGAGTTATGGCCATATCCGAGGGCCGCTCAGGTGGCGCGCGTTAATCCGTCATTAGGTCCATGGCCACTTAGCTAATTGAGTGGTCTTCTCGCAGGGGATTTTGTGAATGAGAAGGATTCCCTGGATTTGAATAAATATAAAATATCACAGGTATCGTGTTATAGTTTAACACGTTCGCTGTTCACTGTTTTTGTGATAACCCATATGTTCGAAAAAACACGTCAGTGTTGAATTTTGTTTTGAAGAATAGTTAGTAGAGTAGTGGCCAGATAGTTACATTTCTTACATTTTTTGTAACTTTCGATTGACCGTATCGCGTAATATGTAAGTAAGTTTTGTTTTTAAGATAATTTTTGTAACTTTTGAGAACGATAAGCTTTTTTTTTAATTCAACCATATTTGTTACTGTAAATTCCATATATTTTACGAACGCACCCAAACTTGACGTGGTGAACGTGATTCTGAGATTGCACATAATAATGTAATGAAATCACCCTATTACTTGCTAGATCTTTACTGTTCTTCAGCGTACCTACTTTGCAACTAAAATGTAACTTTTTAGTTAGCAAAGGATAGTTTTCATTGATTATGGAAGAATGTAGCCAATCCATCTGGATAATTGTTAAACTAAGCTGTGTGATACTTTGCCTACGAGTATGTATACATATAAATTGGATTCTAAATATTTCTTAAGTGGACGTAAGAAGGAAGATATTGTCATTTTTATTGGTACTCCAGCACAACGGAATTGTTAGGATATATACATATTTTTAAATTTTTTATGATACGAAGTGTCAAGACCATAGATTTTAGTACAAAATCTTAGTACGAGCAAGCCATGTGGCTGGTGGTAGCGACGATGCGCCTGGGCATGTGCGTGCGCAGTACCACTTAGTTTTAAATCACAAAGATCTGAAGTGCACTAGCACTGCGCCCCCTGAGACATAAGTTGACAAGCCTATAATTTAACCAGCGCCTTCAAAACCGGAACACAGTATGTGAGCAACATTACCTACTGCTTGGCTACAGAAATAGGTAAGATAGCAGTAATTCCATGGACGAACTATACTATAGTAATACTATTTGTATTTTATATTTGTACGTAGTAGATGTTCGCAACTTGGCAATCAACCACAAACAACTACTTAGTCCGTAAATTAAACTATTTCGGGGACAGATTGGCGACTAATCCCATGTCAATCGGGGATTACGCTGCAATTGCCGCTAATCTCACAACATTGGTTCTCCGGGTTCTGGGATTGGCCGGGACGCAATGGGACCATGACCACTATTTATTGTCGTGTGGTCACCCTAGTCGATATATCTTGAACTGTGATTGGCTGTAATTCAGAAGGCCAAGGGTTGTTAATTGAATTTGATTGGGATTTATTTGAATGAAAAAGAAAGGAATTTATTGATTTATCTAAATATTGATAATATGCTATTGTAGACTACACTTTTTTACATTAAGATTGAGGCGACTTTTGGAAAAATGCGAGCTAAATCTGTATTGTATAAATATAAATTGTCATGCATAATTAACATGATTTATTTTCCTACACCAGTATAAACAAAATCAAAGGCGGTTGCAAAATTTGAATAACCAACTGTAAATCAATCAGAGCCAAATTTCTGAGCTTACAATACGTCCAGAGAAATAGCGTATAGATCCACAGTTTGCGATGTAATCCGACAAAATTAAATAAACATAAACCACCGGATGGGTCACTCTGATTTATGGCCTACCCAGCGCTCTGGATTACCGTGTCCGAGCAAATCCGCGTGATAAACTGCTCTCTCCATTTACATTTTTGTGGGGGAATGTACGTGCATAAGTACTCTGTGGTAGGTACAGTTTGCAGCAGAGAGGCACTGGGTGTCTCTTTGGAGGTAATTGCGAATATTAAGTTTACTTCTCTGTATGATGGAATACGAAATTTACATACGTTTATAAATTCATATACATATATATGTTAATTTGAAACAAGCAGTCCTTTACTTCTTCAAAACAGTACACAATATCACGCACATGAAACCAATTAATGTCGTAACTCAAAATTGTGGAATTAAGAAAACAATATTTTAAAATTATTAATACAAAGATCGAACATAGAATCGAATCTGATCGAACGATTTTTTTCTGACTGTTCCATCTTTGTATATTTTTTTTTTTATTAATTAACGAGTAATTTCACAAAAAACAATTGAATATCAATTCAATACAAATTTAATTATAGTTAATCGCGACATCTCTAGCCAGGGCTGGTACCTGTTATGTTACCTAAATGAGTGACGGAATAGTTTCGTAGATTTCTCATAGATGGCGCTACGGCTAAAAACCGTTGAAAACCAAATACGTTCCGACAAACAAGGCCATTGAAAAATTCGTTCGTTCCGTGGCTTAGTTAGCGCCTGATACGGTTTGCTAGAAGACGTCGGTTCGAATCCGATCGGATCGAAAAAAAAAATCTGAGTGCTCGATCTTTGTATTAATAATTATAACAGACTTGTGGAGTAATTTCACAAAAAATAATATGATTATTATTATTTATACATAACGTTTAGTTACCCATTTATAAATGAATTCGTGCATTGTATATTAAGGCTGGTAAATAAGGAATTATGAACGAGTCTCGTTCAGACGCTTTCGGTGTCG